GGACAAACTGTTTTCTTGAGGACATGGTAAGTTAACAGCCTTTGGACTTCTGCACAAGGCTAGTAGAGCATTGATGTTAATCTTAGCAAGGCCTTTAGGCATAGGCTGAGATGGAGTATGATTTTTCTTTATCAAAATGTTTAACTGTGAAGATTAGTTAAGGAATTGTCACTCTCCAGCATCCTCTGCTCCTTCCCCCACAAAAACCCAGTGGGTCAGTGATACCTCACTCTCAGAAGAGGCTTGAGCCCAACCTCCTTTGAAAACATTTGGAAGCAGGAGACAAGGTAATGGATTGAAGTCATTGGGACAGATTTGGATTGGCCCTTTGCAATGGACTTCATGAGCTGGGTGAGATCTTTTGAGTCTAATTTCTGATTCCTTCCTCCCATAGCCTTGTCACTGAGCAAGAGCTGCCTTTTGGGGACTGCAAAATCAATAGGCATAGAATGCAAATATATTCTTGTCAAGGATGGAATGGAGCATTGCGGTTGGAGAGAGGGAGCTGAGGGACCCCTTATCTTAAAGCCAGTTCAAAAGCGAGTTTGAGCTAATCTGAAGATGCAGCGTCTGAGTCTATTGGTTAACTTAGGGCTGGAACTTAATGTCTGGCTTTTTAGCCACACCCTAAATAAAACACAAAAATCCCCAAATCATATAGAAGTGTCCTTCTTCAGCTTGAATCTGAGCCTCTCTCTTGGAAAACAGCCCACAGGCTAAATTTCATGCTAGTGAGGTATTTAAACTATCATGCTACAGCCCCAAGAAACAGGACACAAAGCTTCTCTAGTCTCGCTAACTAGAATGGTTTTGATCCATTGTATAAGAAAGGAAATTCAAGTAATCAAGTGGGTGGGCTGGTGCTGTTGTTTAGTGACATATGAAAGATCAAAAGTTTGCATCTCTTTCTCTTTTTTTTTGTTTTGTTTTCTCTTTTTTTTTCTTTTACGGAGATCCAGGTTGTGTAATTCTATCTGGCTTCAGACTCCATCTCTCTGTCCTCTCACCCCTTCTGCTTTGTCAGCTGCAGTTTTTGACCACGATAAATCCCATTTGTTAGATTTGCCCCAACTAGCTGCCAGTGGTTGGGGCCCAGGCCTGGGAGTCTGGGTCATCTTCGTTGCTCTGCTACAGGGAGCATATTTAGTCTAGACAAATAGCTTTTAATTACAACTTACTATGTTTTAATTAACACTTGTATATGGTGTTTAATGCCTTTTTAAAAAGATTAGTTAGTTGTGGTCAAGCCTGGTGGGAAGAAAACAGATTTTTTTTCTGTCCACTGTTGACAAATAAAAGCCTTATTGGTTGGTTATGTATATTTTATTATATTTGCTCACTCTTGAAGGCTCCGTGCTGTGCTTTGGATTTTGCACATTGCCTGGGGGGGAGGGGGGATTGGGCTTTTGCTTTTGAGAAGTGCTAGAATATTGTGTCAAAACTAAAGGGAAAATCGAGATGAGTATAGGCAGATTGTGCCTCTGTTGAGGTAAGGAACTCATTCCTTATTTAGATTCTATTAATCCATCCCTGTCGGTGCTAATTATCTCTGCTGTTCATACACACACTTCTAGAAGGCAAATATTTAGTCTTTAAAATGCCTGAAATGGTTTTTTAAACACCTGTGTTTGGTTTGATTTCTGGTGGGATAATGCCCCTCCTCAATTCAAATTGCACATGTTGTTTGCTGCTTTGCTTTCATTCCACACCTTAACGTTTTTCTCTTGAAAAATATGAACCTTCTTAAGTTTGCTTAATTTAAGTGTTATGGCAAGTGGTGTTCTTCTCTCCCTCCTCAGTTATGATATGTCTATTTGAATGGAAAAATAAGTTGATAGATGTCCAGTTCCTTTTCTTATCCCCACATACACCCCTGAGACAAAAGAGTTTTCTCACAGGCAAAAAGAGGAAACATTTGTTAAAATAATGGCAACTTATCACAGGTAACTTTAAAAATTAGATCAAGGGGAGCTTGCTAAGTCAAATTTACAGGAAGATCAGATATGGCTCTGTGTGGTTTTAATTTTGGTGATGTGTTAAGAAAGAAAGGGGAAAGTTTGCAAGCACAAATTAAAATGTTTTTATGCATCTTTTAAAAAAAGGTCCAATTAAAAGTTTTGGGGTGGGATTTTTTAGGAGTGGGGATTTTGAGTGGTGTTTTTAACCAAACCTTCCCCTGTGGTTATTAGCTACCCAAAGTTAAACACTTGTGTTAGTTCAGTAGGAAGAGAAAGTGAACAAGAGAAGGTAGAGAAATCTCAAAAGTAATCAAGCAAATGGAGTTTGCAAAGTTTTTTGTTAGATCTACAACATGGTCAGTAATGCAAGAAGAAAATGGGGAGGGTGGATAGATAAGTTAACTTTTATGATCCTGTGGAAGTTATTGGTATAGATCTTTTTAAATAAGTAAGAGAATTTGGCCTCTGTCACTTTCCCTGGAATGCGGAAACATATGGCTGGCTTTTTAGATCCAGATGCCAAAAGGGGATAAGTGAATATGTTGCAATTCCACAAAAACTTTATGAAGTTAAACATTTCTCAGTACAGGCTCTCACCGACATACAAACATCCAACTTACAAACATCCTGCAGTCTTGGGGAGCAGGCAAGAGGCACAGGTGGTGGTGAGCAGCCCAGCTCCTGCCCAGAGGACTCTGGAGGAGCACGGGGCAGTGGTACAGTCATCGACTGGAGAGAAGCAGCACTTTAGCCACCCGCATGGTTGCCCTCTGCTTATCTGGAATCCCTTGGCCTGCAGTCTACTACTCACTGCCTCCTGGTGAGTAGAGGCTGGGTGCATCCTGGGAAGGGGGGGGAAGGAAAGACTGGCCACAGGAGCTGGCACAGAGCTCGTGAGAGTGGGAGGGAGCTAGGGTTGCCAGGTGTCCAGTATTGACCCGGACAGTCTGGTATTTTTGCCTCCTGTCCTGTAAAAAAATTCAGAAAGTACTGAACATGTCCGGTATTTCTAATTTTTTCCCCCCCTGCCAGCAGGCAAAAATACCATACTCCTGGCAACCCTATGACACACTCAGCAACTGATCCCTGACCCCTTGCTTACCTGGTTCCGCAGGGAAGCTCGATCAAAAAAAACAAGATGGCCTCTGGCAAAAAGCCTAAAGACCTGAGCAAGGGGAAGCAATGCCTTCCCTGGATCTTAGTGCTCAACCTCTCCTCTTCCTATCCTTATTCTGACTCTGCACACACTTAAAGGGGCCATGCTGTTTTATATTATTCTGATTTGTTATATTTATTTATTTATTTATTTAGCGTTTAACTGCTGTCTGGGGTCTTTTTTCCCCCCCCCTTAATAATTTTGGTCTCCCCCTTTTTTTTTCTCAACAGAGTTTTTTCCTGGTTTTTTTTTGGGGGGGAAGGGGGGTGTTCAGTATTTTTGGTTAAACCATCTGACAACCCTAGAGATGGGGGATGTCCAGGAGGCTCCTTCAGAATCTTTACCTATCTCCTCATCTTCCTCTAATTAAACCTGCCTTTCCTCAAGCACTAGCATTCAAGGTTAAATGAAAAACTCTTTGTACTATTTTGCATTGCAGATATACAGTACAGTAGACTTCCGATAATTTGGCACCTTTGGGACCTAGGTGGTGCTGGATTATTGGAAATGGCAGAGTATCAGGGGGTACTGCATACTCCCAATTTAATCCCCCTTCCTCCCTCCCAACCTTATGCTTGGGCCCCGGAGCCACCGGTACAGCTGCGCATCTCCCTCCAGGCGCTGGGGCACATGCGCTAAGTGGCCGGCTTTTCAATGAACTGGCTGGGATGCTATGCGTAACCTAATTCCCCTTCCCTTCCCTGGAGCCAAACACCTCTCCTCCCTGCTGTAACCCAATCCCACTCTTCCCCAACCTTATGCGCGGGTCCCGGTACAGCCACCCGACCGGCTTTTTAATCAGATGGCTGGGACGCCATGCGTAATCCAATCCCCCTTTCCTCCCCTTTCCCAGAGCCAAACACCTTCTCTCCCTGTTGTAACCCACGTGAGAGCGGCTGACCTGAAAGTTCCAGGTTCCAGCTTGGTTCCATCAGGAGCACTTGCCATTTTGATGCCCAACTATTGGGAATGCCATACAATTGCGTGCCAGACTATTGGAGTTTTACTGTATTTCAGCTACATAATGGGTTAAATGGGCTTTTGTGGACTAACCTGGGAACCTAACTACCACATAACATTATTTCTATGGGAGAATATGTTCTGAGTTTCCAACAACTGACTTACAAATTTTTGGAGCATAACCCATTTGTAATTTGGGGACCTCCTGTGCTTTTCAAGCTTCTGGAAAGCTAGAAAAAGTGTGTTTGTATAGCCTTTCCAGGTATCTCTGGTGAGAAAGCTGTGATTGCCCTTAAGATAGAATTCTAGTGTTCCTATTCTGAATTTCTATTTTCACAGTGGTGTCAGAGGGATTGCTGGAGAGTATTCTCTGGTGCCTAGGGCATGTGTCATCTCTTGACTTAAATTCAGATTTCTCCCTGCCATGATTTCAAAGTTTACAGTGTACCACCTAGTCTCTAATTTACTTTCACCTCCTCCCTGGATACCTCCTTTTAGATGGAGCAAAATAGGAGAGCTGGGATCATCTGAACATAGAACTGAGGCGTTCCTGTGCCCCAGGCCTAAACCAGCTTTGATACAGATTCCCTCTGTAGCCTTGGGCCCAGTCCTGCAGTGAGCTGTGTATGAGTATGTTCATATTGACTTCCATGGGGCTCTATCCATGCAGAGCTCATTGCAGGATAGTAGTTTTAATCTCTCTGCTTCAGTTTCCCCATTTGTGTAAAATGTGCTATTCCCTCAAAGGATGTTGAGAGTGTTGATAACTGTAAGGGCTATGTTGTTTACGTGCAGTATTCTTTATCTATCTATATATCTAATGCACTTGTCATCTTTATATCTAGGAGACCATGGCATCAATATAATAATTTTTTTCCCAAGTAAAATATAATGAGATATTCATCCCATGTTGCTCGTATTTCTAGAACAGGGCAGTTGGACGACCCAAAGGGAAACTGGGCACTGCCTCTGCAGTGAAGCTAGCTGCTAATCGGACGACTGCAGGAGCACGTCGGAGGAGGACGCGATGCCGCAAGTGCGAGGCTTGCCTACGTACAGAGTGCGGCGAGTGTCACTTCTGCAAAGACATGAAGAAGTTTGGTGGGCCTGGAAGAATGAAGCAGTCCTGCATTATGAGGCAGTGCATTGCGGTAAGTGTCCACTTGTAGCCATGGCTCTCTTGAGACAAATTGTCAAGCTTTGTTCTGGGGGCTAGTGTCAGAATGTGCCCACCCATTTTTCTAAGATCCCACTGTCCAAGGTGACTAGACATAGGCTATAAAATACACTCCTCAAAGGTCATCTCTCCTATTTTAAAAGCAGTTGGCAAAGCAAGCTGTGCCTCCCATTTGAGAGATCCTTCTCAGAGCTCTTTCCGCCCTCTCCCTCCCGCATCCTTATTTTAAAATGTTATTTTGAGTGCTCAGTAGGTTTTTTGGGTGGCAGGGTGAAGAGAGGATTATTAGAAATGTGCCAGAACTCACAACTTGAATAAGAAGGTCTTTGAATTTCAGGATAGAGGAAAATTCAAGTCTGATTCAGAGCAAAGGCTGTATGTGGGGAGAATGAGAAGACAGGCATGTCTTCTCCTTTGGATCTTGCCAGGATCCATAAGAATAATTAATCTTGCCACCTGTGCTATAAAGATGGAAATCTTAGGAGACTTTAATCCGCCATTTTGGCACTGTTGAAATCTGAATCTCAAGCTAAACCAGATCCAGATTTGAATTTGCCGCCTCTTCAGCTGTTCCTTTCACACTGCGGTGCTGCGTTGTTACAGGGGTAGATACCATGGCTCCAGTCTTTGACAGAAGAAACTCCAGGATTTCTCTGCAATTTTAATTGTGGTTAGCTATATTTGTAATCTTGAGAGTTTCCTCTGATGGATTCAAAGGCCATATCTCTGCTGGGATCAGGCAGTGCCAGCTATTATTACTGTTTTTTTGTTTTTTGTTTTTTCTTTTCTTTTAAGGGAAGGCACATTGTCTATTGGTGGTGATAATTCTTCTGTATTGGCTTCCATCTGATATAGTCTCCCAGCACACACAGAAACTTGCATTTAAGGAAACTGAGGCAGAGAGAAATTATGTTTTGGCCAGGGTCATGCAGCAAGAAAGAAGGCGCTGCAAAGAACTCAGATCTCCTGGGCCCAATTTTCAGAACAGCTCGGCACTTGGTAGCTCTCATTGCTCTCCATAGGAGCTATTGCGTGCTAAGCTCCTCTGAAAACCTGGCCTTCGGACTCCCTGTTAGGCCATATATCCTGTTTAGAACAGGGCACTAGTTTTGTCAGACCTGAGCAAGACAGGCCTCAGTTTTCTGATCTGTAAATTGGAGGGAATACGTATAAAGTACTTTTGCATCTCTAACATACTTTACATCTTGAGTACTTTATATTATTATTCAGTCAGTTGTGACATGAATTTATTAACCACCGTGGATGGAGAAATTTTTTAGAAGTATTCTAGTCAAATCTTGCTTCCTCTTCTTGTTAGGGTCTACAGTGAGCCTGTAACTTTGGTCTGAAGATGTTTGCTGTCCCCATTGGTCAGGAAAACTGCTAATGGCAACCAGTTTCAGTCATGCTGTACAGTCCTGATCCCCATGAAGGGGTTCATAGCAAAGTTGCACTGTTCTGTCAGCTAGTAGTTGCTTGTGGGATCCTCCTCCATTTTTTCTGAGTAGTCCTAAACAAAGCAGGGCCACCATGTTCTCTGTCTCAGCCCTGTACAGGTGTATGCCCAGAATGATCACTAACCTTCATGGAATTAGATTCTGTTTTGGGCATCTTTCCCTGTAATCTGTGGGAAAATATGTCTTCCTAGATGTTAGTTTAGTTCCAATCACTTTATTTCAGAGAGCTATAGTCTGAGCTAGGGATGGAAATAAGTAGTTGAGTATATGATTAACTGATAAGCCCAGGCTTGACTACTTTCATTCTCCCGCCAAGTAGCCTGTGCTGCTTTCCCCCAGTCCCCTCCCTCTGCTGCTGCTTTGAGGCAGCAGCAGCAGGTGCGGGGAAGGG